ATGCTAAGTCAATTTTTTTTCCAGTTTTATTGTATAATTGACTTACAACACTGTGTAAGATAAAGGTGTACAATGTTGATTTGGTACACTTACAAATTGTTTGTTACAGTAGAATTAGCTAACACTTCTATCAGGTCATTTAATTATTTTTGTTTTTTTTTTAACCTATTTAGTTGGTTTATGCATCTGTGTATATAATGACACCATTCATTGATCTAAGAAAAGGTAAAAACTAAGAGAGGTTTTCTGAAAGGCATTATTTAGTTTCATTGTGAATCGCCTGCAGTTGAGGTGCCTCACTGGTACCGAGGAAATATGAAGGATAGCTGTTTGGGAGAAAAAGTCTGAAGCCCAGAGGGGATTCGACATCTGGACTTACAGGTTTGCAGAGTCACAATTGTTATATCTAAGTTTGAAGAGTCTTTAAGTGCTCCAGATCCAACCACAAAAAGACCTGCTTCACACAGCTCTGGAGATCTGAACGTACACCCAACTGAAGTCCATACCTCATGCAAAGAAGTGCTATGTCCATTTGAATGAGAGCAGAATTGTGCTGACTGCTGTCTCCCAGTGTGATGAACTTAAAACCATGCTCAGTGGCAGCAGGCATCACCTACTGTAATGTGGGTACAACCTTTTGTGCAGAATGACAATGCAGATAAGACTCAGAATCTCACAGAGAGGATCCTTCATTTTGATGATCAGTTATATAGAAATCACATTTCTCCTCTTATATAGGAACCGATATGAAATAGAAAGATACAAAAATTATTTTAAAAGTTACAATATAGGTCGTTTGTGTGCAGACAAAATGTGAAAGTGGTTTGTCATAAGGGGAGATTATTCTTTGAAGGAAGTATTTTAAACAAACATAAAAAATCTAATGAATAGTGAAATATATCCCCTATATTCACCACTATTCAGTTGAACAACTTTTGACATATTGTCATACTTGGTTCAGATCTTTGGTTTTCATTTTTGTTGTGTAAGAAATAAACCTTTATAGATAATGCTGAATCCGCCTTGGCAGTCGTTTTTGGCTCCTGCTCCTGGTGTAACCAGTGACCCAAATTTGTTGTATATTTCTCATGTCTACATTTTTATATTTTTACTCTATAAGTTTTGTTGAAATTATCAATGATATAAGTGTGGATGCAATTTCTAGATTTTCTATTTTTTAATTGAGCAATTATGTTATTAAGATGCTTCTATTTTAAAGGATTTACAAGCATGTTTGTTTGTAAAGCAATTCACTTCGAATTTAATATAGCTTTACTGTAAAATTGGTCTAACTATCCCATCACATCTTGAAGTCATTCTCAATATTCTCCTTTACAAAATTGATAATTACACAATTAAGGCATTTGCTAAAATGTCTGATATGAAACTAAGTAAAGATTTTCCATTTTGTTGGTAATTTTACTAGATGCATCGTAACTTCATCCACAAATTTTGTGGGTTTTTTCTGCTTTTATTTCTTTTTTTGTTGTTCTTTTAGATATACTTCATGTTACTTTGGGTTGGTCTCCTTACTGGGTCTTAGTAGATTTTCTATCATTTTTAAAAAGAAAATTTCTGTGTCAGGATTTTTAGTTATAACCATTGGAAAATGATTCTGTGTTTCTTAAGCAGAAAAAATAATTTAGCTGAGGGAGATTCAGGCCTCACAAAATAGACATATAGATAAGAACAAGGAAGCTTGGGAGGCAAGGTGCTAGAAAAATAAACTAGGTCATACTGCATGAAAGCTATGGGACAGAATAAAATTAACATTATTGAGGTATAATTTACAAACAATAAAATTCATATATTGAGTATTTATTTTAATAGAATACAAGTTTCAAAAAATAAGAATAACATTTATTTTTAAAGGCTTGATTTTAGACTAGTCATTCCAGTAATAAGCAGTGCAGGAAATATGACAAGAAAAGAGAAGAAAATGAAACCATTTCAAAACCATATTGATTTTAATAGAAATCACTTAATTTCTGAGACTATTTTAAAAAGAATTTTCCGTGTGTTATATTTTCATGTTTCTATTTTATAGCTGGCATATCTGAGGAGAGATAACTGAAAAAATCATTTTAAGCACTTTTTATTCTGAAAATTCTTATTAGAATGATGTTCCAACAAATGTCATAGAATTAGCACTTCTTATGGACACTTATTGGACTTCTCTGAGGAGAATGCATACTAATTTTATATATCCTCTTTGAGAAAATATATGAATGACAATACAAATATTTGTGAATCAACTTATCTAAAACAATCAGCTTCTGCTCCCCCAATATGTTAATCTGTGTTGTAGATCTGTACAGTACAGGACTGTACTGTAATGCCTAATGTCCATGTTTTTAAGCAGGTTTATGGAGAAAGACTTCAGAGTGACACAAAACTATCACATGCACTAAGAACTTTACATGAGTCACCTGTGTGAATTGTCTTTTTTTATTGTAGCTTTGCTCTTAGCCTGTAATGCTTTTTTTATTCACTGAAAAGCTTCATAAAATCCCATAGTCCAGTCACATTGTGGTTGGAATATAAGGCCAATAGTTTGATATCTTTCTTGAGTGAGAATATATGTTAACAAATCAGTATAGAATCGATGGTAATCATTATAGGGGAAGAGTATTCATCTTCTCATTTTGTACCTGAGTACCTAATCCCTTACATGACACAAAGGAGTTAACTAAAATTTCTGGAATGATGTTGGCTGTAGGTTTCTCTTTGGTTTCTTATATGGCTTTTGTTACGCCTTTGTTATGTTATGTCAGGGGAAGAGTCAAATCAAAGAACATGTATAAGGGACCCATTGACAAAGGCAACAAGGGTGAGGGAGGATTGAATATGGGGGGGTAGGGCAGGGGAGAGCAATGGGGGGGGAAATGGGGACAACTGTAATTGAACAACAGTAAAAGACTTAAAAAAAACTTTTAAGATAAAAAGTCAAAACAATTTTTCTGGAATTAGTAATTGTCTTAATGAATAAATCAGTGATCAATGGTCATTGAAAGACCTTCACAACTGGAAACCTACCCTTTCAAAGAAGGGATCAATAACGTCATCTGTATAATGAAATGCAACCATTTTAGAAAGGAAGTAGTTATTCTGATTTACTTATTTTTACTCTTTTAAGTGGCAGAACTAAACTATGTCACACTAGAGCACAGATGGGTGCTTCCAAAACAAGTAGCTTTCAAAAAGTCTTTACTTGATAGTACGTTTGGGAACTTAGAGGTTATGATTATAAACACTCCCCTGTCATATGGTCAACCAGTGTATGATTTCTTCAAATATCCTGCATGGCAACCAAGAAACAAAAAATAATTACCACACATGAGAACATGTTTGTTTTATAAGGGAATTGACCTGATAATTTTTGGAGTGTCCTCAAAGAAGAAAAGAAGTAATTTTTGGCAGGAATAGAAACATTTTGCATCCAGAAACTTACTAAAGTTTAGGTTAACAAATATCAGAGCTTGGATCAATATATTAGAAAATTTGAGTTATTTGTGTGTGTGTGTGTGTGTATATTTATGTGTGTCAGTAATAACATCAAAATATTACTCCTGATTTGAGTTGCATGATGGTAATTTTGTGCCCAGATACACATGTATCTTTAAGGACTTATTTTGCAGTGATACTTTTTAGTCTGAGGTATATGCTTGACTTCAGCCCTTACTGTTCTTGCTGTTATAGCACAATTGGATATCTTACTACTGTGTCTTCTAAGAAAAGTCTCCACATTGACTTCTGGGAGTACTGGAATCTCTAATCACTGGTGCATGAGGATATATCAGTTTGTGGCTTGTTAATATCAGTTTTTGCACCTGTGCCCATGAATCTGCAGCATGTAATCACTCACATGAGGCCTCTTACAGACTTACCATAAACTCTCAGCCATTTACCTTGCAATACTTAGAAAATAATAATAATAAATTTGTTTTTGTATATGCATAACAAAATATGGTCATTGTAGCTAAAAAAATTAATAGTTATTAAAGGCTATTTTGAAAACACCAAGAAACATATCTGTTCATTAACATCTTTCTAAATTTCTCTTGAACATAATTATTTGTGTGGGAGGTATCAGTGCAATAAGAGTTGTTGGTTATGCATGGGTTTTTTCTTCTTGGATGAAAATTAAGCATGCTTAAGAAATTTTAACAGCATATTTACCCATATAAACACAAATAGTCAAACCATTAAATATGTGATAGATTGCACCGAAATTAATTATCTAATTACTTTCCTGGGCATTTGTGTCCAGACTCTGGCTACACATGCACATTTTGGTGACTGCCTTGTAGTCTGTATCTTGATATAGATAATGGTGGCTGCTGAATTTGCAGCACCTCGTATATGCCCTCTCAAAGGAGTTTCTCATGTACTGTCTTATAGAGATGATACAATTTTTGTACTAGGAATGTTGACATTGACTGCTGTGTCAGAATTCACAAAGGAAACTCTCTTTGATCTCCATATGGATTTTATCAATGTTAATTTCCCTCTATGGTTTTCCCTGTTGAACTTTATTGCCCAGTTACCCCGAAGTTATTAGGAATAGAGTCAAAAAACACTCTGAGAACTCCAAGTGGTCACATACAAGAAAGAGAAAGTATAAAATGTGAGTTTTAATATCAATAATGTTTGTTTATACTGAAAGCTTAAATAGGTCTATAATTGCATGAAGGGTAAGCAGGATGCACCATACAAAAACCACTTTCTATGGAACATAAACTTCTGTCTTCTGAATTTGTTTATCAGTATTTTGAGAGGCATTTAGAGCCACTCACACACTCCTCTATTATTCCTTTACTCATTAAGCAGTGATGTCTTCTGGACTTAGGATATGGTTCACTATTTTTCCATTAAAATGAAGAAATGCCTTGTTTGTTGCAGGTTCATTTCAAGCAGTTGGCTTATGGGAATCTGAGAGATACTGCTGTCCATGACATGTTGGAATTATCATGATCAATTATCCAGTTTGGTTTTCACCCAGTGGCCAAGAGATTTGCATGGTAGACAGCAAGGACTGGATTTTTAAAAAGAGTAAACCAGGTAAGGTTTGAGAGAGACACCTGATCATTTATCACTTGCTCAATGGCTTTAGTATGCCGCCAAGATGTACTGGATAACATAAAGCTTTTCCATTTGTTTTCCAAGTCCACTGAATAAGTTGTTAAAGAATGGAGATCCCTTGGATCTGGGAGACTATATATAGTAATAACTGAGTCCCTTTTTTCTCAAGAGGAAACAGCAGTTATTTTAACGTTCATATAAAGCAGCCACAAGAATGCTATGGATGCTAGTTTAATGCAGTAGCCAAAGTTGCAAACCATAGAGACTTCCTCTTTAAGTAACTGCTCTGAACCATGATCGAATAAACAGTTGTACTTTTGAAGGTGCAGTAGAGAATGTGTTGGCCTTAAGTATTTATATTATAGAAAGGTATCAGTTCATAGCATAGGATCTTATAAATATGCTTCAAGTTACTCCAATTTAGAAGATTATACTATTATTCTGCCTTTTATTCCTTTGAAAGTATTTATCATTCAAAATCGTTCATCTAAGAATTATTTAAAATGGTGATACAATGATATACTCTATTGTTATTGTGGCCTCTAGGATGTAAAATAGTACATACTCTTATTGAGGTCCTCTTTTTATCTACTTTTGCCTACTGCATTCTGGAAACAATTATCAACTAAAACCATAGTTTGATCAGATCTTCAGATCTTTCTCTTCTTTCTGTATAACATAAATTTGTTAGCAATAGTTACCTGAAGAAACCACATTATTCTTGTCCTCTGGCTTAAAGATCATTAAAACTTTTATAGCTGCTTTGAATTTTATGCATTCCAAAGCAAGATTTTATTTTCATATCAATTATGGAAACAAAAATGTAAGTAAAAATTATTATTTAGAAAATAATAAAGGAATATTATTCCAAGTCACTTGAATTTTTTAAGTTATTTACAAATACAGATTTCTTACTTCCTGAAAAGGAACTAAATGGAACTCAGTCAATAAATTATAGCCTAAGATAATTATTTGGATATAATGAGAACTTCTAAAATGCTTGAAAATAATTGCTTCTCTAAAGTTTAATAAATATCACTTCCCAATTCCCTAAAGATTTACTTGTCTATAAGATTACTTCTCATGAGACTACAAAACTCAAGTAGTCACAGTATTTAAGTTTGTTGAAAATAGTATAGATCACCAAACTCATGGAAGAAATCTTTATTTGATGAACTGAGTTAGTAGATAACTGTCTGTCGTGTTAAGTGGTAAGATGTGTTACCCACATTTAGAAAAGTTCTGCCAGAATCTAAATAAAAGGGACATCAATACTCAGGGTGCATTTGTGGGATTACACTTAACCTAGTTCCATGATTCATAGCATTAGCATCTATCAAATAATTAAATTGCTTCATGATAGACTTCCCTATTTCTAGGCTTTTAAGTCTTATTAACAAGTTTAAAATAATTTCATTCTGATGATGTTTCTTTCAATATTTTGAACAAAATTGGTTCCATATTAAAACAACATACTTAGAAAGAAAAAAAGGTGGAACAGGGAGAAAATTAAATCTATTTTGGAGGTAAATAAACATGTGTTAATGAAATTATTTGCATTTACTGATGTCTTCATAAAACATTTTCCTCCATATGTTAAATAAGTATTTTTATTCTTTAGAATAATTATCCTTGTTATCTGTATAAGTCATCAATAGAGAAAAGAATGTACAAGTCTTTTGACCCAAGTATTAAGAAACAAAACTTTTCTTTTTGTCCTACAGTCTTTTGAAATGAATCTTTTTGATTAGGAGCACAGAGACAGTAAATTCCTCTGTTCTGTATAAAAACATATGATTTAGAAGAGACCTTTGCACATAAAAGACATTAAAGTGAATTCATATATTTTCTTAGTTAAAGGTTAACTCTTTTAAAATGAATAGAAAATGTATATATTATAGTTTTATAGTTTCTGTTAGTTGAAATTCATTTTTGTTCTTTATAGTAAGAATGGCAGGTGCATTTTTTATGGTGATGCATGTTAGATTTTTCATAAAGTAAAAAGAATGTCAAGATTTCTGAATTCTGTTTCTTAGAAGTTTATAACAAAGCTGTATAAAAATGCTTTCTGTTCTTTAGCTTAAAAGCAATTTTTCTTTCTTAAAGCATTTTTAAAGTAAAGGTTTGGCTACTTTAGGATTACATTACCTTATGCTTGTACATAAAAGGAATATTAAGCTATAAAGACAGGTATAAAAGGTGAGATTTTTCAAAGCACTTCTGATAATAGCATGCCACATGTAATGGGATATGCAGCCCCCAAGGCGGTTCATGTAAAAGATTTAAATAGCACCTGTATGTCCCTTACTCTTTGCAAAGAGCAGTGAACATTCTCACCTGTGCAACTCTTTTTATTCTGAGGTCTTCTGAAACTAAAGCATTGCAAATTTAGTGGGGCAGCTGATTCCATAATGAAAAGTCTCATGTGAATCTTAATTACTTTTTGGCTACATATTTGTTTGCTCTTCAGACATTTTTTGAATATCAACCACATGTAAGGCAAGTATGCAGTGAGAAACAAATTATCAAATATTCCTGCCCTGCCCTGCCCTCAAGTAGTTCACATTCACAAAGTAAAACAGACACCTTACATGATGCAAAAATGAACAGAATATTTTAATGATATGTTCCACGCAAAATTCTCCAGAAGCAAAAATGAAGGACTATTAAAACTGATAAGAGGATGGTAAAGTCTTTGGGGCCTAAGAGGCATTTCAGCTACAGAGCTAAAAAGTGGGGAGAATTTTAGTTGATAGAAAATAGGTGTGAAGGCATTCTAAGCTCAGGGCAAAATCTGGCAAAGTCACCAAGGGGTAAAAATAAATGTTACATTTAAAGACTAGAAAGCTTGACACTGCAGTGTGGGGAGCAATGCAAGAAGAGTTTGAGTAGGCAGGTAAGTGCAGAACTGGAGCATTTTGCATGCTCAGCTATGGTGGTTATAAACATGAAAGGGATGTAATATAATCTATACCTTAAGTAACTGATTCTGGCAGAGGGTGGAGATGTGGGCAAGCAGAGTATTTGTGGGGAGAAGAGGTAAACTAAGGGCATTCTTTTTCATGAGTGTAGAAACATACGGTGTGTAGTCTACTACACGAACAATAGAGCAGTTTCTGCCTGTCATTGATTCTGTTAGTCTGTACGAAATGCTGACTAAATGAATGTCTCTCAGGGATAATCAGTAAACTTCTACATTTGCAACTTTTTCCTTTTTAGAAATGGTTTGAAAACTCTTCATACATAGTATGGTAATAATTTAACTTACATGTTTTCATCACACATGCATGTATGCATACATACTTTAACACACACTACACTAAACCCTCTCCCAATATGTGCTTGAAATGAAACCTCAAATCCTGTTCCTGAAATTTATGCTTCAATTAGAAATGGGACAGCTACTATCCTTCTTTATTTTCCTTTTGAGACTTTTATCTCTCAGGCTTTATCCTTCCCTTTATCATTTTATCATCACGGCAATCACTGTACTTTGTTCCTCAAGAACGCAGCATGCATATAAGGCACGTTTTTATGACTAGAAAAGCTTACTCCTCTTTGCATGTACTGCTTACTTAAACCTAATTAAGTAATTCTGCTGAAAGTATCACGTCCTTTCATCACAATGCACACGTGGTCAAAATAATAGGGAACATTTGAAAGCTTAGAAAATAACTGGAGGAGGAAGCCTGAAAGCAGACACAAAATGAATGAACATGAACTTCAGTCTGACCTTCTTTGGTACAATCCTCTAATGAGCCAGAGCACATTAACTTCTCTACCAGAGGAAACACCTAACTCACAGCATTGCTTTCACTCCAATTATTTTATTGAAAATTACCATTGTCATAAGGCTTCCCGGCAGTACACCAGACTCAGTACATTTTGGGTGATTGAATCATCTATTTTCTGAGAAGTTCTTTTATAGTATGGAAAATATCCAACAATTTCTTTCTAAATAAGCATACTTAAGGAAATGTAGCTATGACTCACTAAAATGCAGTATTTAAGACCAGGATCTTTGTCTTTCTTCTCTGAGACCTTAACTATAATGCTTCATACATGTTCAATAAACATATCTGACTAGTGAATGAGTGAATAAAAATTAAACCTTGTGCTTCAGATCAAAATCATAACGTTCGTATTTTTAATTATAGGAAATAGCTCCATCTTTTGTTAGGGGTCAGTTGGTATTTGTTTCATCCTGTCTCTTGTTAAATCAAGGGAATCTTACCTTGTTATAGTTTACCACCACTTTTTAATCACAGGTATTTTTAAATCACATGGCAATATAATAGTACCCAAGTATTCTCCAATATTTGGAATACTTGGGGTATGGAGGATTTAATCTAAAATAAGGGAACAACAACAAAAAGATATTCATTCATTAAATGTCCCCTTTCTTCATAAGTAAAACATAGATCTCTTTTACATGCTATCACGTATTTTGAATTTTTATTTTTATAGATCTCTAGTGCTTGGGAGGAAAAAAAGTAAAGTTATGGCTTTTTCCATGCTGGTGGATGTAGATTTCAATAGGTAGAAGTCATTGGAATGCGGACATCCTAGCAAGCTACCCTCTTTTATTTTGAAGATGTAGACTACAGCAAATTGTGGTTAAAAATATACTATCACATTAATAGACATTGACTTTCACTGAGGCCTTGACTGAATCCCAACTCTGACACTTTAAATTTACATGATCTTGAGCAACTTATTTATTATCTCAGAGCTCTAATTCCAAACCAGTAACATGAAGATATAGTAGTGTCCCATGGTGTAATTGTGAGGATTAAATGAGGTATACAATATTTAATAGAATGTCTGACATATTATAAATAAGATATTGCTGTAATTGTTATTTACAGTCTATATATATTAGCCATTCTACCTCAAAGTCCATTTATTTCAGCCAAGTGTTTATTTTACCCTTGGTCCCCAGAATTAAGTGAGAGGCAAAGTGTTCAGCAAAACACTTG